TGCAGCCTCCAGAAGTGCCTCCTCCAGCCCTCGGCACCCGAGAGGGATGCGTGGTCCCGACCTGTCCAGGCAGCAGAAATAGCATCTTTCTTTGTGTTCCACCTCACAGAGAGATTATATGGCAGCATAAGCTGGTGAAATCTATTTCTGAATAAAGCCCTTCTCTTCACTTTCTTTGAAATTTATGCATGGAATGCGCTTTGATGCTCCTTATTTCTCTCAGATTTGAACACTTGCTACCCCCCTAAATTCCTGTGAGAATTTGTTCCTCTCTTTATTGAAGCCCTGACTTCATTTCTGTCTTGTGTTATTACTGTGTGTGGGGGGGGTGTGCTCGTGTGCACATGAATATTGTATGCGTGTGTGTGTACATTTGTGTCATGTGTGTGCATGTGTGTGCGAGTGTGTGTGTGTGTGTGTTACCTCACTGGCTCATCAAATCCATGCACCCCAGCACAATGTCACTCCTGTAGCAAGTACTTAATAAATGTTTACTAAATGAGCAATCCTCCCAAAACACCGATTTCATCATGTCTGACAAACGTGCCCTGTGAATCCCAATGCCGTGGTTAGAGGACATAGCTTTGCATTAAAATTTTCCTGTAGCATAGTTATTGGAAATTATTCTGGGGAAGTAATAACCAAAAAGCAATGTAAGAACACCTCATGTGAAATATTTTATTCATCTTTTTAAAAAATTAATAAGCAGCAGACTGGAATTATTTAATTTGGCTGTTCCTTTAGCTCCTGCGTCTCTTCCCAAGGCTCTGGAGGTTGTTATTTTCCAAGGAAACACCAGCTCAGAGAAATCCTCAAGGCGACTCCTGCTTAGAGATGGGCTTATTGACAGCTGGCAGGGTCCTGCTTCCACAGCCGGGGGGATGTGTGGGTCTGGGGCAGTGGAGGTGGGCTCAGTAGCATTGCAGGAACGCATAGGGTCCCCTGGGCCTTTCCTGTAGGTGAGAGTCAGGTGTTTGCTCAGGGTCTTGCTGTGCAGGCCCTCCTCAGAGAGGGTGGGGGTGGCGTGTGTCCAGGCTTGTAGAAGGTGTCCACAATGGCAGGGGAGGTGTGCAGAGGCAGGCTGGAGAGAGGGCACACCCCGCCCCATTGAAAGACCAGATGGCACGTTGCAGAGAGGACTTTATCGTGAGGGAAATGCGAAGGCATCAAAGTTTTAAACGGAGGACTACTGTCATCAATTTGTAATCATTCTCACCAATAGTTCCGCACCTGCCCTGAGGGGCTGTGCCCACAACAGCTTCCATCAGCACCACCCAGGACACCTCTATTCTGAGCTGGAAACATGTGCTTGTTATGTAACCACCACAGAAGAACAGGAGTGCGAACAGCTAATACTTCTTGAAGCTTCCTAGGTGTCAGACACTGTCCTAAGTGATTTTTTTTTAAATGTGTTAATTCATCTTCACAAGAAGGAAACTGGCCACGCAGCTATTAAGTGCTGGGGTTGGGCCTTGAACCTGTCCAGGTGGGTCCAGAAATCATGCTTAGATTCACAGATTTATTCTGTCTCCCAGGTCACCCCCAGGCCCATTTCCAAATAAGCTGTCTCTCCTTAGTCACCTCCCATCAAAATTCTGCAGTCATCACAGACACTGACAGAGTAAGGAACAGGTAGGAGAGGCCCAGACCCAGCTGGGGAAAAAACACAACAGCTCTGGTGAGGCATGGAGTGACCCGGACAGCGGTGCCAGACACAGAGAGCTGGGAGGGAAACAGGTTAATCCACAGGATTCGGCAACTCAAAAAATGGGGGGGAAGCCACAGTGAGCGCCAGCACCAAGCCTGGGATGTGTTATTTTTTATGGATCAAAAAAATACTATGATGTCTTCATTATTATCAGTGGGATTATCCTCCAGGTTTACAGGTTACAGCTTTTGATTATGAACTTAGAGCAAACAGCTGCAAGTAAGAGTAAAAGGTATTACCTGGGACGTCAACTGCCTGATGGTGTCACTTCTGTGTGGAATGCAGGGAAACAAAACAAAGCGTCAGATGGAGTGAAGCCCGTAACAAACCCTAGAAATCTGACTAGAATTGAGGCTACCAGAGGGGTAGGGGTGAGGGGCGAGGAGAGGAGGGAGCACTACTGGGCTCTGGTGGAGTGACTTGGGTGACTTTGGGTGACTTGGGCATGATCCTGTACCTCCAAATCATATACGTGTTGTAAACCAATGTGACCTTCATTTTTAAAAAAATATAATACATGAGTAACCCTGTGGATTATGCCACATTCACTGTCTAGTTTGATGTTAATGGCCCTTTGGTAAAAGTTTGCTAGAGGGTCTCCCTGGTGGCGCAAGGGGTTAAGCACAGCACTGTGAAGCTATCTGCAGCCTCTGCTGCATGAGTCCGAGTTTGATCTCCGGCCAGGGAGCTACCCACATGGCGCAGCAGACCTCTCCTGAGGAAGGAGCTTATTCAAGATGGCCCTCTAGGGAGCCAGCGGGACAGGCACCCCAAACAAGCAGCTCCCTGGGTGGCAGGAGTGCTGGGGTGTGGGGAGGGGTGTGAGGGAGGAGGATGGGATCCCACCTCCGGGAGGTGTGGCTGCGGCAGGCCAGGTGAGCAGTCAAGGGTTTGGATTTCCCAGCAGGGTGTTTTCTCTGCAATCAGCAGACATTTGTTTCCTTTGACACTGTCACTGCAGAGAGACTGGGAGAAATTTATCAGGGATGCAACGCGATCACTTTGCCAGGATCCCGGGAATGTTAATGGCTAGTCGTGAGGAGGGAATAAGGGAATAAGGGGACACAATTCAGCGTGTTAACAGTTAATCCAGAGGCCGGAATGCCACTCAGTGGTTAGAGTTTAATTCCACTTGTTCCTAATTTTTAGTCTAGGGGTGTCTTCTGTCACAAAATGGAGAGGATCTGGCTACCGGTCACAAACAAGGTGACTTAAACAATAAAAATTTATTCCCTGGCAGCTTTGCAGGCCAGAAGTCTAAGATCGAGGTGTCGGTGGGTTAGGTGCGTCATAGCCGAGCACTGTTCAAGTCCCCTCTCCTCGCTTCAGGGACCGTGACATGACGGGAGGAAATTTTGGCTGACACCCTGCTCCCACCTTCGCCAGGCACTCTCCCTGCCAGTAAGAGGAGGCTGTGTCCTGACCGCCCTCTTCTCACAGGGACACCTGCCCAATGCAGTAGGGCCCAGCCTGCTCCCTGTGACCCTGCACCAGCCGATGCCCACATGAAGGCGCATTCTGGGGGACGGGGCTAAACGTCAATCTATGAATTTTGGAGGGATACACTTCACCCCATCCCACCCTTTTAGCAGCCAAAGCAGGAATTACTCCTATTCCCATGTTAAAGATGAAAAACTGAGTCTCAGAGAGAGAAGTTACAAGGGGGAGTGAAAACCTGGGTCACAAAGGCGAGTCTGCTCCTGGCCTAGGAGTCAGGGCCTCTCCCCGCGAGTTTGCTTAGCTGTTCTCACACATGTGGAGCAGTAACAATTGGGGTTTCACTGCGCGCAGAGAGAGGGACCTGTCAGATGGGGCCTTCTCTTGAAATCTGGCAGGTGCTCTACCATTAAAAGCATCATTTTGCTTATTCAGTCGTGGCCCCTGGGGCCACACCTCGGGGAACCTGACCACCCAGGGGAACTGTTTGCTTAAATTGTTTCTTGAAAGTCTGTTGTTTCTCTCCAGTGGATTCCCTGAACCAAGGGGAACTGGGTACAATAAGCCTATTCAGGCAGAAAGTAAGATGCCCGTCCTTCCTTCTCTCTCTATGGCATCGTCCTCTGCCTCCTGTGCCTTTCTTTTGTCCTGCCTCTCATAACACCAGTGTGGGTGTGAGGACCGCGTGAGTGGCCAGTGATGCGGAGTGTGGTCCAGATCACCTGGGGACTCACGCATGGGGCAGGTGGTGATGGGCGAGCTTCCAGACCCGCTTTGCCAACGAACGAGCTGGCTCTGCCACCGCCTCTGTTCCAGTCGAGTTGCTCTCACCGGCTAAGGCTGATGTCCCCACTCAGAGCAGGGTCTCCTGGACAGAACAGGGGGGCTTGCTCCATGGGTGAGCCCCCCACCCTTGAGAGGCAGTGGAGTGCAGACACAGGAGGCAGATTCTAATCCCAGTTCTGCCACTGACCAATTGTGTGAATTTAGGGGAGAAACTTCATTTTCCTGTGTCATTTCCTGTAAAATGGAGATGAATTTGTTTACCTCTAAGTTGACCGACTGGATAAATGCCATGACCTGTAAATGGTGCCTAGAACAGTCTGCCACACAGTTCTGGTGTTCGGCGAATAGAATATACTTCCTTGTTTGCTTATTCCCAAACGCTACTTATTAATCTTTTCATTGAGAAGCTGCAAGATGCAGGTCAAGAAGCTGACAGTGGTAATGTCTGGGGGATGGAATTGTACCAATGCTTGATTTTATTATCCTATTTTGGTTCACTTGCATTTTCTGAACTTTCTATAATAAGCAGAAAGTTCACTTTTTTATTTACTTTTTTGATAAGAGAAAACAAATTCCTTTGGGGCCCCCAGGGTCAGTGGAGGCGGTATCAGTGGCACGAAGTGCAGCCAGGACTGTTGCCGGCCGTGGTGTTTCAAGTCCATGGAAGGAGACAGGGAGATTAAGACTAGGAGGAACAGTCAGTGATACCAGGTGCTGAGTGTGGAGCCAGTTTCGTGCACGTGGCACCTGGCATCACAGAGATGGCATCCATTGTCTCCAACATTCTGGGGAGTCTTCCCTAATCCGGAAGGAGGAAGGTCAATGAGCCACCGTCATATAAACATCACCCTCGTCACCTGCCTGAGTGCCCCAAGGGGACAGGGAAGGAATTGCTGGGGCTCCTTTCTAAAATGCCCGTCTCTAGGAGGGGGCTTATCTTGGAGAAAAAGCTGAGGTGGTTTCTGCCGCACCTCTCACAAATGCCAGGTGAGCACCCTGCTGGCGAGCCGCGTGTCAAACGGAATGGAGAAGTAACTTCCTCTCTCTCTCTTCCTCTCTCTCTCCCTAGCGTTATTAGCATCATCTTTATTCTGGCTGGAGCAATTGCCCTCATCATCGGGTTTGGTATTTCAGGTATGTGGGTTCTTGCTTTACCGTGATCCATTCAGCCCTCACCAATAAGTGCCCTATTATCACTCACTGTGGCAGCAAGAAAGAGCCCTGGGGGCTTAGACCCAGAAAATTTCAGAGCAGGGCGCTGAGTTCTCTGAGTTGACTGTGCTCGTGTCACATGAGCCACTGAACTCCCAGCCCCCTTGTTTATAGAACAGAGACTCACATCCCCATCACCACGAGGTTGAGTCACATGTGAGTGTTTGTCTGTGCTGGAATGTTCCTGGGGTGGCGAGTGAGGCTGCAGCTCTCTTGGGTTTGTCTTGGGTTGGTCGGGGCCTTCGGTAAGGAGAACACAGCTGCTCCGTGTCGGAAACAGATGCCATCGAGGCGCAGATGGTGAGTGTCCAAGCGCAGCTCCGGTGTCAGCTGTAGGAGAAGCTTCTCTTCCCCCTTCGGTGTAGACATGTCTCCAAAGCGTCTCTCCTGGAGGTCACTTTATTATTGCTTTTTAATAGTATGACCCCATTTATTCATAATTGTATGTGTGTCCATACAAACACTAGCAGATGTTTTACCCTATTAGCATTGAGATGTTAATAATCATCTCTGGATAGTGGAAATTTGGATATTCCAAATATTCATTTCTTCCTGTAGTTTTATTATTTTTAAACACAATCACATTATCCTTTTAAACAGAAAGTAACAATAAATCCTCTTCATTTTTTTAATGTATATATATATATTACATCATTGTTCATTTTTAAGATCAGAGGGAGGAAGGAGCACAGGGGAATGAGGTGATGGCGCACGGGTGCCTTGGGGAAGGAAACTCTATGGGGACTTCACCTGGCGGGGGGGAGGAAACCTGGATGTCACTTTAATTAAGACACTGAGTGATGCCAGCAGCTGTGTGTGCTCCGAGGCAAGTTGTTTGCTGTTTCCCTTCAACCTCCTGATTGAAGTCAACTCATTTATTTTAACTAGGTCTGCGGCCAAAGCTGTCACTTTATAGCTGCAGTTTTTATAGTTCCAGCTGCCTTTCTCTGTCACTCTCCCCCAGGGTGGGTAGCTGCCACTCCACAGTGGTCCCAAGGCCTAAACCAAGAAAATTCATTGTAGATGTGTTTGCCTAGGAAAGACATCAACATTCTGTCCCTCTTCTTTGCTGTCAAAAATATGTGTATTTTTGTCTTGCATTTTTTTAAAATTCCCTGTCATTTTCTTTTTGATTTGTAAGAATTCTTTATTCTGGATGCAATTTGGTTACACGTATTGCTAAATTTCTTCGATTCTGTCTTGCTTCTTTACTCCTTTGATGTCTTTCCATGAGCAGATGTTTTTAATTTTATAAACCTTTTTCTTTATACCTGGAGTTTTTGGAGTCTCTTTAAGAAATTGTTCCCTATTCCAAGGTCATGAATATTTTCTTCTAGGTTATCTTGTAGGAGCTTTATTGGTTCGCCTTTCATATTTCCATCTCTAAAGCATCTAGAATCAATTCTGTGCCTGCTGCGAGATCACTGGTGACATTCACATTTTCTGTGTTCTGTGTGATTTTCCAGTTGACCCAGAAACATTTATTGAAAACACTGTCCTTATCAGCACTTCTCGTCAGTGTCACTTTTATCATAAAATCAAGTATCCAATTGTATATGGAATCTGTTTCTGAACTCACTAGTTCAGAATCTTTTATAATCTTTCATAACTTGTTTTCTTCTTACATTATTTTTTCTATTTCCTTTCTTAATCATGGACATTTCATGGGTCATCCAGGCTCCCTCTTACTCTTGTTCTTTCTCATCATAAAACAGGTTTACAAGGTGCTATTCTCATTATAATTGCTTTGAATGGATCAGGTTTCTATTTATACTTTCTCTGATTTGTTTCCTACTTAATTGTGCCTTTCATCTTCATGAATGTCTCTCCTCCTGCTTTACTTTGCTGTCATTTAATTACTCCTCTAGTATCTTCAAATAAGCACTTCACCAAAGGGTGTGTTCAGAAAGCCAGTAAGTAGTTTTTAGTAGACACTACCATTCGCTTTTCCAAAGTGACTCAGCAATTTGCTTTTCACCAGCAGTGTTGGGGAGATCCAGTGCTTGGTGCCTCACCAACACTGATATTGTAGAATCCTGTTGTGAATTTTATTTTTGTTTCCTGGTGACTGTAAAGACTGAGCACATTTTCATATGAGAAATATCGCACAACAGAGCCAGACGCAAAATGGCATATGCTGGATAATTCCATGTATATAAAGCTCAAAAACAGACAAATGAATCTCTGATGTTTGAAGGGGAAAAAAAAAAGGTTATTACCTTGGAAAGAGTGAAAGGTTAGCCAGGAGGAGGGTGCATGGAGGTATGGCTCGGACTATAAAATCCTGGGTTTATGTGTGAGTGATGGTTCAGTGAGATGAAGCTGTGCTGATTTCACAAGCTGCAGTCATGGTGTGTACATTTTTATGTATGTATGCTCTATGTACACTAAAATATTCATTATGCATTGAAGCATAACACACATAAAGTGTATGCATTATAACGGCAGTTATACATTTAAATATGTATTTGTAGAAATAAAATATTGGCAAAGCAAATATTTGGGACCCACATTTAAAAATATTAATATATACATTTTGGTGCCTTCTTTACTAATGCTTTCCCATAGTGATTTTCCTTATTCTTGATCTTATATACCACCTTGAGTTAAAATCCTCATGTTTGTCCTTCATTCTAAGTCTTGGTGACTAACCCTTTTGGGGCCGAGGGCTAACTTGTGTAGTATCAGAGTCCGTGTGGAGTTCTTCTGGTAGGCAGTGATGCTGCCCAGCCCAGCAGGAACACTCACGTTGTCACAGCTTCCCGGTGACAGTCAACACTTACTATTAATACCCCTCCCTGTTGCAAAGCTATGGAAATCTCAAGCACTTAGCTGAGTTCCTTGAAGCAGAGGGTTCTCCTTAAGTGCTTTTTAAATGGACAAAGAGGTGGATGCACGGAGAGCTAAATAACGAGATACAAATTAGTCCACAATATCTAGGAATGTACCACTAATCATATTAAAACCATGCCATCAAAAAAGAGGGTGTTTTTTTCATTTTGTTTTGCCTTCTTTCCTTTACACGGGATAAATGCTGGTTATTTTTGGATAAAATGGGTTATTCATTAGTTTAACACTAGTTAGATTTTTCTCAATTACTTCTATAAAAAGGCCATAACCCTTTTTATAGAAGAGCATATTATCACACGTTAAATCCATTCAATACAATGTCAGATAGCCTAATACATAAGACAATGACATTAAGGCAACAATATCAAGTAGGTAATGGTAGTGATGGTGGTGATAACAGTGATGAGATGGAGTCTTTTCTATATTCCCCTCGCAGTGCTAAATAACTTTGCATGCATCGTTTGATTTACCACTCACAACAAATAGGAGGCAGATATACTTCTGTGTCCTAATGAGAAAGTGTCACTGTGTGTGTGTGTGTGTGTGTGTGTGTGTGCGCGCGCCAAGGGGCCACACAGCTAGCAGGTGGGCACTGTGGTGTTTCAGACCCTGATAACTTGCTTCTAGACCCCGCTTTGCTCCCTCCCACCCTGTCCTGATAAGATTCAGGCAGACTGTGCCAGACAAGTGTTTTCTGCTTCGCTCTGCAGGTATTATTCCTGAGATACAGCTTTTAAAGACTTAAAGATATTTCCAAATACAGGGGGGAAAAATGTTCTATTTCTGTATAACTTTCCTGAGGCCTATATATCACCTCCTGAGAGCCAGCCAATTCCTGACAAGTTCTAAGTGTGGATTCTATAAAGCATATAATGCAATTGAGATGGATGGTTTTGAAGAGGTCACGGGTTGTCCACAAATCCCTGGCAGGACAGTCTCCATGGATGACCCATGGAGAGGGCAGGAGAGGCTGTGGAAGGCCCCTGGGCCAACACTCCCACACCGGGGGCCGTCTAGCAGCTCTGTGTAAAAGAGGAGCTTAGGAATCTGACAGACAGGGCCTCACCTCAGGTGTGACACTAACTGTATATCCTTTGGGATTTAACTTCACTTTCCAGAATCAGTTTCCTCACTGGCAAAATAATCGGGATTATTGTGGATTTTACATGAAGCACCTGACACGTGTGTAATAAATGGTTGCTGCTGCTATTTATATTGATAATTATATTGATCTTATGTATGGTGTCAGTGCCATTAATAACTTTCTGTTATGAATACAGTCATAGAACTCCTAAAATGTGCACCCCATCCTGGCCACATGGGGGCAGGCCTTCTCTGAGGCTGGGGAGCCCGGCAGGAAGACAACACCCTGCCTTCTTTATTTTTTTCTATTGCATTTATTTATTTATGTATATATTTCCTTCTTGAATGCTCCATCGCCAGACACTGGATAAACCCATCAGGCATGTGCTTATGGCACTAAGAGGTGCATTGAGCAAATTTTGTGGAAAGAATTTATAGTTTTTTGAAGTGAAGTCATCTGAGGAAATAAACAGCAGTGAGCTTTTTCTTCCACTTATTTTATGCTTTCTCATTGTGTTTATTCTGTCGTGAGGAGTGGGTGTGGTTTTGTTGGGCAGGCGCTCCGCCACCTGACCCCACCTGACCCCAGCACGTGGTAGGTAGGAAGTGCTCAGTGCCAGGTAGGCCCATTCTGACTCTGGCTCCTACCTGCTGGACCAGGACTTCAGGCCTTTCATCTCATGTCCTGCTTTGCCCTGATTCTTAAAGTGGACACAGCAGCCATTCCTCCCTTTCTTGGTTATCAGGCTTAACATGAATCACTACAAGCAAACCCCCTAGAGACGTGTTCGTTCCCCTGGGCTCTGACCACTTAAATCAGAGATTTAAGGTTTATTTTAACAAGTCAGTTTCTACATTAGGCACATCACCTGCCTGGCATCATTGAGTGCACTTCAGAGAGACTCTGAGGGAGCCATAGTAGTAGCCACATCCCCATTTTTGAGATGAAAAGACTTGTGGAATAAAGAAGTCAGAAAAGTTGCCCGAGT